AAGGATTAGGAGAGGACTTCTTTGTTATTGATAGTTGTGAGGAAGGTAAACCCTCCTTTTATAGAAGACAATGAGTCCCAATCCTACTAGAACTATGTTATCTATCCTGTCGGTTCAAAAAAAGCGACGAGGTAAAGAACCGAAAAGAAACCCTCGAAGGAGCTTATAATTACGCTCACCTAGGAAAATCTAAATACAATAACAGAAAATAACAAACGGAAAATAATTAAACATAATCTTGATACTTTGTTGGCGGACGAACATTCCTCTTTGGACGACCCGTCGTGGCAGGGCCGGGGTCGTGAGCTTCCTCTTCATGCGGGGTGGCCAGGTGCGTATCAGACCACTTCAACGTCAATTTTCTCATGTTCGACATCTATTGATTTTTTATTATTTATTAATTTGATCCCTTTTGCTCATAATTAGATTGTGTTGATATTACTAAACTTCTTTATGATAACTGAAAAAATACTTTGCGTGGAATATGGTAATACAGTAAGGTTTCATAGTTTTGGTTCTGAAAGGCCAAACTAGAAATTTTAACTAAAATTTTTGTAGGCAATTCTTAGGACCAACAAATTCAATTATAGCTCTATATGTAATTCACACTAAAATTTTAAAGTGGTTTTCATTCATAAAATTAGAAGTGCCATCTTTGATTCTCTATTTGATTGAGTTGGGATCTACATGCAAGGTTTCAATTTTGATTATTGTATCACTTGCCATATATCTCACATATTGATTATGATCATGATGAATCTTATTATGTGAATTTTGTATGCACACAGTATGACGTGTATGGGAATTTATTAGGACTACTAGGAGCACACCCTGTGGCACCACTAGTATCAATCCATCACCTTGACGTAGTGGCACCAATCTTTCCAAAAATGACTCGAGTGGAGAGCCTGAAACACCTATTCGAGTCTGTGAAACTCGACTCCGCAAGCATAATGCAACAATCCATCTGTTACGACAAAGAAAGGTATTGGTCTATATCGGTGTCTTGGGGCTACGCCATTCAAGTCATCAGAGGCATGGTTTCTCCTCGTGAGTTGGAGATGCCGACTCGGACCTTCTTGAACTGGTACAGAAGAGCGGATTACACGGCATATGCCTTCAACACTCGACCTGTCACTAGACACCCTTGTCAGAAGCCATTTGTTTATTATGTCACCAAAGTGAGGTTGGACAGAAGTAGGAATGAGATTATTGGGATATATTATCGCCACAGAGAGACACACCCTTATTGTAGGTGGAAAGGCCAATCTCCCCAAAATATAGACTCAATTGTTGTCTTGAAACAGCCTGATAGTACGAGATGGGAAAAGGTACGCGGTTAACATTAATTAACATTTTCTTCAATATATTTAGCATTTAGTTTTCTATTTTATGAAATTTAATGGAAGTCCATTTAAAATGAGAGCATTGTGAGGTTTTAGTCATCTTTCCATTGAAGACCTCGAAATGCTAGAGGAATAAAGAACAAAAAGCAACAATGTTTCAAATTCTTAAGGGCATTAGTAGATTTTTAGTTAATGATATGGTCATATGGAGGACTAACACTGAAAATTGTTCACACATATGGTTGATCCCTAATATAATAATATAGAGTAGTGGACCAAATGTGAAATATCTTTACCCTTATAACTTCATTTGTAAAATTTATCTTTCACCATGTTTCACTTTTAGGTGGTATTTTCATTTCTCACCCATATTGTTTTTGGTTCACTAATTTAGATTTTTTCTACTACCAAAAGAGTGAAAACATGTAAAAGAGAATAAGCTATCTAGTACTTAACTCTTTCAAAATAATTAGAAATGTATGAATTTTTTTTCAAACTTTGTAAATTTTGACTACAATCTGCATTAAATATACATTATGATAAGAAATGTAATTCTAAGATATTTCTTCCGTTTCAACATAATTAAAAATGATTTATACTTCTTTTTGTTTTGCAATGAAATTGTAGTATCACATACAGTAATATTCAAACATTGCAGTTTATTATGAAACAGCTGAAGTACTGTATATATGAATTTTAATTTAGAAAAAAAATAAAAAGGAGGAATATCTATATGTCTTTTTCATTTTGTGTGATGTGTTGTGTTAGCTAAGTGCATTGTGTTTTTATCCATGTAGTCGCGAAGGAGAGATTGTTGTAAAGTGTTACCGTCGAGACAAAATGCAAGAAATCTCTACTTATGGGTGGGGAGTTGCAAACAAGGTGAAGTGAGTGAGTTCTAGAGCACACAGAACTTAAAAGCTCAATAGCAACCTTACATATTACATATGCATCGTGATCAATTCAAAATAGACGATGAGAAAAAAGCATCAATAGTGCAATCTCTTACGTGAAAGAATATGAATCAGTTGCAATGAACTTGACATCAAGAAATATTCGTGAAACCACTAAATGTCACCCAAATTACATTGATTTTTACCGATGCAAATACAGGCGATGCAATTGCTTCAGCTTAATCACATCGATTGTCAAAATTCGATGTAATATTTCTTGTTTTGCATATGTTTGATGCATACATGTCCTCTTGAATTTTCATTCTCTTGTGGAAATATGTTATAGGAATTGATTTTTATCAGCTAAACAATGACGCTATTTGAAGTTAGTAGTTGGTTGTTAACTATTTGTGTTGACTGATTTGAACAAAAGATTGAGGCAGATGTTTGTTTGATTCATTATGTTCATTGCTATTGAGAAACTATTTGGCAACTTTAGTTCCCCATAATTAAATACTTGTAGTTGTTTATAGATAAAATTGCATTTAATTAAGAACATGTCTTTATGCATGCACGCAAATTAGTGTTTTGATTGTCTTCATACCACAAATTAAATTGGACTATAATGAAGCTTTATAGAGTATTGCGACTATGCACTCAAAATAGCCAAAGAACAACAAGCAAACACAATTTTTGGTTAACTTAAAATTTAAAACAAAATTCTTGCCTTTATTGATGACATCTACCTACTCTCAAATGTAATTAATACTAATATTATTATATATGTTTTCACTTCATGACTTTTTATCTTAGTTCTAGTGTTTATAATATAATACGATCTTAACATCTTTAAACATGTCAGGACAAATCTACATGTTAGGCCGCTAATTGTGCAGTAATGGACATCTTCTAAGTATCTCTCATAGCCATCAGTGTGGTATGTGTGGGGCTCGAACACTGGATGTAGAAAAGCTTGGTTGGCTTTCTTGCCTCTACACCAATTCGATTCCACATTAATGAATATCTTAGCATTTTCTCTATCATTCGTCGAGTCCTGAATAAAAACATCAAAAGATCTCTCAATACAATTTATTGATGATGAATAGACCTGACAAAAAATGATCCGACCTGTTTTTGACCCAAAATCCGACCTAAAAACATCGAGTTTTGAACAAAGATTTTGATGACCAAACTCGAAGTTGACCGAACTCGAAATGACCCGTTAAAATAATCTAATAGATTTAATGCATATTTTTTGATATTTTAAATTTATTTAATACAAAATGTAAGTGTTAATGAGAATTTAAAAATTTAAAAAACAGAAGTCACATTTTTTAAATACTGTAAATGGAATTTGGTACTAAAATTTCAAACAAAGGGGCAAGGGAGTGTCTTATTATTTTGACTCTTATTTAAGTTTTAAAGAATTCGTGTTCATATTTAGATTTTGGGGAATTTACATAAATAGTACTCCGTAATATAACATAGTAATTTTCTAAATGTAGTACCATATATTTTTATTTCCTAATGCTATACCATTGTTCAATGTCCACTAGTAATTGTTAAAATTCTGGCGGGCCGATAACAACGGATAGAGTGTCGGGTAAAATTAACCGCTTGCATATAAAGTCGGGATCCACCAATTCTAACCCAAAAGCTTAAGCTGATAGGTAGGGCTTCACCGTTCTATATATGCTAGTGATGCTCATCTTTATTTTCCGATGTGGGAACTCCAACAATAATAGTTCAAGTAAATGTCCACCGTTACTGAACATTATTCAAACTAATCATCTCTAGACATTGTTCTCGCAACTAGACATTATTCAAGTACTATTATTTTAGGAATAAAAAAATTTAATACTCCGTACTATATTAGAAAAGAACATATGTTTTAGTATTATTTAGTACAAATTTCACTTAGATTTTTTCAAACTTGTTTACTTCTATTTTGAAAGTCTTCCCTGTTTTTTTCCTCTAATTTTATTTTCCTTCTACATTTTCCCTCAAAAATCAAATAAAAACATTGGTGTGGTATATACTTGGTCTCTCTAAAATAAACAATTTTTGATTGTCATCCCTCTACAATAATTTTTTTTATTAAGTCATCCCTATAATGTTTTTTTTGCAAATAATCCTTTCACTATTTATTGTAATTTAGAGTTAATATTGAATTCATTTTTGCTCCATAAAAAATGTTATTTTGTTTTTGGTCCCTCTAAAATATCTTAAATTTAAAATTATTTTATTTTTGAAAAATGCTAGAGGTACACCAAATATGTACCCAATATGTCCCCCACTCCCTCCTTGTCCACAAAAAGGCAAGAAATTTAAAAAAAATAAGTAAGTAAAAATCAAATAAAAATGTATGGTGGAGAAGGGGGTAGTGTACATTTAAGGTACATCTTTGATATAGCCCTATCATTGTTCTTTATTTTTTGTTCCATTGAAACCATGACAAATTAACTCTAAGTCGGTGGGAAGGTCCTTAGTAAAAACAAATACCAGTATTTTGAAAAGAGGCCCAAAATATGAAAAAAAGAGGGGGAGAGGGAAAATAAGTTTCCCGAAAATTTCGAACCCCAAATTCGTTTAAAAGAAACACAAACTGAGAGTAACAGCGCCACGTCAACCATCCGAGAGGCACTTGCGATCTTATCTCAACCCTCCGATGCAATTAATCAACGGCTCATAATCACTCTCGCACCACTGACGCGGATCGACCTTTCGCTTTCCCATCGTCGTCTCCCCTATAAATACTTTACCGACCCTCTGATTTCCTTCATCCTCTCGTGTTTCTCCTTCATCGTTTCGAGCTTTCTCTCATCTGGTTCTTAATCAAGGTAAACTAATTTCCTTCATTTCTTGATCTCCTACTCTAATCTCCTGATTCTACTCATCACCTCGACGATTTGATGAGAGATTCTTTTATTGATTCTAATCCTATGATAATCCGATGCACAAATCTCGGTTGACAATCTAGGTTTGCAGTTTTGAAGTTCTGTATTTTGGAATCGGAATCAGTTCTGAATTTAGGTCTTTTAATTGCAGAGGTTCGATTCAAGTGAAGGTCGAAAATGTCTGGACGTGGAAAGGGAGGAAAGGGACTGGGAAAGGGAGGAGCCAAGCGTCACAGGAAGGTTCTCCGCGATAACATTCAAGGCATCACAAAGCCAGCGATCCGCAGGCTCGCTCGCAGGGGAGGAGTGAAGCGTATATCCGGTCTGATTTACGAAGAGACTCGTGGAGTTCTGAAGATCTTTCTGGAGAATGTGATCAGAGACGCGGTCACATACACGGAGCATGCTCGCCGGAAGACTGTCACCGCCATGGATGTGGTCTATGCTTTGAAGAGGCAGGGAAGGACTCTGTATGGGTTCGGCGGTTAGATATTGTGTTTTTCTGATGTTCACGCAAGGAATTTATCAGTATTGTTTTCGTTTCTTCTTCTTAATCTTCTGCGATTGGCTCTGTAATTACAGTTGATGGGAAATTGGGGAAGGGTGTTGTGGGCTGTCTAGTTGTAGTTCAGTTTAGCTCTTCATTGTAGAAGCTTTTGTTTGAAATGGTATTAATCACAGCTGAAGTCTTCATTCATTTGGTCTCAAATCAAAATCTTTCTGCTCTATTTATCTTCTTTGATTTTGAATCTTGGGTAGTGTTTGACAAAGTTGTGCATCGAGAACTTCAAAAAACTACAGTAATTTATTAATCTATCATCTCAAAATGGTTATCCGTAGTCTGTTGTGATTGAAGATTTGACTGTTAGAATCTTCAAAATTTCAAATTCATCAAAGGTGAAAATGGCGACGGTGTAAAATGTCTTTGATCTCTATTTTTAGGGTTTTGTATAAAAATAGTGGGAAAAAGAAAATTCCTAAGCATATTGTTTTGAGTTTGGTTTAATAGATTAGATATGAATTATTGTTTGATCTAATATTTACGGTATTTTAAGTTTTAGTTAAGGGTAGATGGTTTAAGAATTAAGATGGTCTTAGGCTTTGTTTGGCAGATGTCTACTGTTTGATGGTGGTTTTTGTAGGCGAATTTATTTAAGCCTTGTTTAGAAAAATTATTGTGGGCTGGTTTTGATGTAGTTTTTCAATATATCTTATCATAATTTGTAGATGTTTTGATGTAGTTTTTCAATATAAGAATTTGATTTTTTAATTTTATACTTATTTTTAAATGAATTAAGTTAAAAATAATTTAATTTATGTCTCGTAAATGATATGCAATTTAGGGGGGTGTATTCAATTAGAAGTTTGTAAGATTTTTTTGGAGTTTAAGAAGTCGGTGGATTTAGAAAATCCATTGACTCCATGCAGAGTTTGGAAGACTCTTTTATTGATATACATGAAATTTTATATACTTGAGGAGATTTGTTTATTGATTTAGATGGATTTCATGTTTGTTCAACTTTATTGTTCATCCATATTGAATCATGTACAAATAAAATAAGCACTACAGAGTTCAAGCACTGCAAATTTTTTTTTAAACAAGGACGACAAAATTAAATAATCTAATAAGCACTGCAATTCTGCAAATAAGTACTTCAAATAAGCACTACAATTCTTCAAAGAACACACAAATACATAATGAATGAAAACCTCTCAAATACCACTAAGAAACGCTACAGACTTGCGGAACTTCCTGGTCAGCACCTGGTATTCTGATGGTATACAGTACCTGGTAGAGCTTGTCCCGGAACGGTATGTTGCCGACTCTGGGGGAGGCGAAGGATATGACGGTGATCAGAAGGCCGGGGAAGGTGGCCGCCGCTTCGTAGGCGTTGAGCGCCGCCAGCGCGCCGCCCAAGCTGTGCCCGGTGATTGTCAGGCTGACTTCCTCTCCCTTCTCTCTGGATACATCCACCAAGTCCTGGAGCTCCCGCATCACCTGCTCCGACGCACTGGATCTGTTGTACGGCGACGACGGGCACTTCGAGGTGTAGATGCTGAGGAATCCCCGCTCCACTCGGGCATCTCCGTGCCCGATCGGCTGCAATTTGTTCTGCGTGTTCTCGTACCACTCCGTCGGCGTCACCGTCCCCCCGCCACGCCACCGCGATGTCCCTCAGCCCGATCCGCCGCGTCTCCTCGTCGTCGCTCACGGCCACGAATCCGATCCAATTCGAGTCCTTGCTCCATCTGTTGACTAGTCGCTGGGGATTTCTCTGGGATTGCTTGTTTAATTTTGGGACTCTAGGTCTCCATGGGGAGATCGAGGGTGGGATGACCGGAGAAGATGAAGAACCGTGCGGGAAGAAGAGAGAAAGATCTGGCAGATTTGGAGTCCAACAAAATCCCTAGGCTTTTGGTTGGATTTGAAAACAAAATTTTTATTTATACTTCAGGTCTAAAATCCTTCACAATCCATGTTATATAACACTCCTTCAAAATCTATCTTTTTTTCAATATCATTAGATTTAGAAAGATTTTATAAAATCTCCGTTGAATACCTACAGATTTTAAATGATTTTTTAAAATCTCAATTGAATACACACAGACTTTTAAAATCCAAAAAAATCCTGCAAAATCTTGATTGAATACACCCTCCTTAAATTGGGATGAAAGCAGTAATATATAATTGTTCTATTAAAAAATGTAGATACAAGAATAAATAATAAATAATATTTATTTTTCGTCAAACAGCCAAAATAAAAGACCACTTATTGTTGCTTTTCGTATTTTTGTTTTCAAACACTCTTATTGGCTGCTTGATCAGTCGAAACAATGAAAATTGGTTAAAATAGATAAAAGTCATCCCAAAACCCAAAGATCAAACTTGACTGTAATATTTTAACTTTTGCTATATTCATGGGCTTTTAAAGAATATTGAGTCTACCAAATTTAAATTATATGAGCAAGTCCATCTATTATAAATGTGGATCTTAGAATGACTAAACATTAAATCTAAATAGAGTAAATTTTTAAAATGGTACTTATAATTATGTGTTTTTTACAAATTAAATCTAAAATTAACTAATTTTTGAGATAGTACTCGTGAATTGAGAATAATGCTCAGTTCAGTCCTCCTGACTAACGACCGTTAAAACGGCATTAAAACGATGTTAAACCTTATACTACTTTCCAAAATGGTACTTTCTAAATACATGTTTTCTCAAATTGGTCTATTTTCGAAATAAAAATATACTCCCTCCGTCCTAAAATTAATTTTCCAATTTGACTTTTGCAGTCAAACTTTTTAAACTTTGACTATAGATTAAGGAAAAAATACATTGAATTTTCATATAAATTTATTAGGAATAGATTCATTTTGGAATATAGTTTTGAAATATATAATTTTTATAAAATATATTTATATAAAAATTGAGATATTGATGGTCAAAGTGTCGCATTGGAGACCGTGAAAAGTCAAATGTGAAGTTAATTTTAGGACGGAGGGAGTATTAATTACGAAAACATAGAGAAAGAGATCATATTTTGACACTTTCTTTTTTGTTCTCATATTCAAGTGATTTCTGTAAAGTTTACTTTCAAATTTATAAAATTATATCTATAATTTTTAGTATTATATTGTTATCTTATAAAATTTAAAATATTTTTCTATAATTAATAAATTTTTATTTCGAAAATGGACTAGTTTGAGAAAACACGCAGTTAGAAAGTACTCCGTACCATTTTAGAAAAATAATATAAGGTTTAATGTCGTTTTAACGGCCGTTAGTCGGGAGACTAAACTGGGACTAAATTGAGTACTATTCTCAATTAACGAGCACTATTTCGAGAATTAGTTAATTTTATATACTAATTTGAGAAAATACATAGTTTTAAGTACTATTTTAAAAATTACTCAACCCAATACTATCTCTTTGGGTCTAATGTATGACCCATTGTTATTTGTTTTGGACGGACTTAGGTCTAATTTATAACTCAATTATGAGCACAAAATTTAGGCCTATTTTGGGCTTGTAACCCAAGTTCTGTGGATATGGATAAATAGTTATGTTGTGCATGGGCTCTATATGGGCTAATTTGGGCCCCAATAACTTTTGCATCAAGGAAAGAAAATCACTTTTCCAGGTTTGGGAAAAGATGCACAATACAATAGTGAAGATTTTTTTTTTTAAAAAATATATTTACATCAAGTATAAAGTGCGAAAATTGTCAAAGAACATCTTCATTGAAAAGTGATGCAAATGGAATATATCTAATGCTGATCTTTTTTTGGATCACTAAGGGAGGGGGAGAAAAGCACAAAAGTAGCTTGTCTCACTGACTCTTCGGGCAACTACAACCTGCATCACGTCGTTCAAATAAGCATCTTCATTTTCGGGGGACAAGTATTGAAGATCTTCCACCCATCATTTTGTAGTGCTCCCATGGAGGCAAATCGATCTGCAACCATGTGCTGCTCACGGTAGATCACTCGGATACTAACTCTCCGTTCCTTGTCATTTGTCAAGCCACCTTCACGCTTCCTCAATGCAATGCTGTATATGCCCTTTGTCATTAGTTCCTTCTTGGATCCACTCCGCAATGCAATGTTCTTGTTGATATGTAAATAAGAATTTGATGGAGGTACAATTCAAATAAAGAAATATGTGCGTTGGAAAAGAACTCTAATAAAAGATTCGATTCGAGAAGGCAGATTGAATTATGAAATAGAGAATGATAATGATAAAAAGCACAGAGCTTGAGAACACGAAGAATGGTGCTAGTATTGAATTTGCCGTATTGAGCTTGAGAATTACAAGGATTTTTCACCTCTATTTATAGCTAGACTACTCGAATTATACAAGGGAAGTGCTAAAGATGGTATTTGGATTATGGCATGTTTCCTCTTTGCTATTGGCGCTAAGCAAAGTAAACCCGCTCCGTCTGCGATTAGACATAGTTAATTACGAGAAAGGCGGGATGCTCTTGACTAATGAGTTGGTGGTCCGACCCAAATGCTCATGGACCACGTCGGATGTAATTGGGCCCGTAAAGGGAATGGGATGGAGGGTCTACCGCATTGGTGCTTTGCCCGGGTTGGAAAGACATTGGGCTTGGGCCAAAGTCGGGTGGTCTTATAGCCCATCAATATGAAATGAGTATTGTGTTATAGGTAAGTAAGTATACACGTGGTATATGAGAAATATCGTATATATGAATATACTATATAGGAACTCATTTCAAGTCACATTACGTGTCACATAGTGTGAGGGCCGTCTTGTAAAATCTCAAGACCTTGTTCAAAGTATAAACTTTGGGCCCGAATAAAATAGATTTTAGTACAAAATACTCACTCTGTCTTGAAACAAACTTCCCTTTTCAGTTTACAAGATGTGACCAAAGTTATTTTCAATTCAATTTATTTAATTATAAATGTAAAGTTAATAATAAAATTTGTTTATTTTAAAAATACATTAAAAATTCTACAAAATCTAGTGTGACATGATTACATAATTATATTATTTTATCAAATGACTAGTGAAAATAGACAAAGTGCAATACTTCAATGAGTTAGCAAATCAGTTTGTTACTAATTTGGTATTTACATGCACAATAATTTCATAATATTTAAAATAAAACAACCATTTATATTAATTTAAAAACAAATCATAAGTTAATCGGTGTAAACAAATCAAACGTTACGGAACCTTTTAAAAATAGGGATGGAAACTGGCCGGGTTTGGTCGAGTTTAGGTATATTATATTAAAACCCAATCCGACTTAAGTCGGGTTCGGGTTTGGTTTTAGCAGGTCGGTGTCGGATATTTATTTATTTTGATCAGATTCGGTTTGAAATTCGGTCAGGTCGGTTATGATCAAATTCGGGTTTGAATACAGATAAAAGTACTCATGAATTTTTTTAGATTGAAATACATTAAAAATTTAAAATTTAGTATATTAACAAAAATAGTTATGACCGAATAACCCTAAGAAAATTAAATAGTACTCCCTCTGTCCGGAAATGATGTTCCCGTTCTACTCTCTTTTTTCCGTCCGGAAATGATGTTCCCATTCTACTTTTTTTCTCTACTCTTCCAAAATTACCCTTTCTTCCTTCTTTTCTTTCTTTTCTTCCTTTCTTTTCTTCCTTCTTTTCTTTCTTTTCTTCCTTTCTTTTTTTCTTTTCTCTTTCCTTCTTTTTTTTCTACGCCACCCCTTTCCTTATCTCTTCAATTTTTTTCTTTTTGTTCTCTCCTCTTTCTCCTCCATCTCTACAGATCTTTCCTCTTCCTCTCTTCAATCTTCTTCTTCTTCCTCTCTTCAATCTTCTTCTTCTTCCTCTCTATAGTCTTTCTTTCTTCTTCTTTCTTCTTTATCTTCCCCTTCTTCTTTCTCCTCCATCTTTCTTATAGATCTACGCATACGCATGGGGGCAATTGTGGCGACCGGCGATGGCGAGTCTGCACTGCTTCTTCTCTTTCTTCTTTTCTTTCTCCTTATTTTTTTTAGATCTATACCACAATTGCGCCGATGGTGGGGCTGCGCGCCAATGGTAGGGTCCCGATGGTGACGGGGCTGCGGCGACGATGGTGGTCGATTAAATCTGTAGTAGATCTGTGTCTTTTTCTTCTTCTCCTCCTTGTCATCTTTCTTCCCCTTCTTTCTCTCTTTTCTCTTTCTCCCATATATGGTCTTGAGGGAAGCTATGGGTGATGGTCGGACTGGTGGTGACGACGGCTGAGGTGATGGTCGTCGTTTGGGCTGGCGGAGATAACGACGCTGACAGGACTCGTGGGCGCAGCGGTGGGGTGAGATTGGCTGCGGTGGAGGTTTGAGCCAGTAGTGGGTGCTGTTTGGTGGCTAGGGATGGGTGAAAATGTGTAAGGGTATTTTAGTCTATTCACTCCCTTAGTCAATGCTTCTTAAAAATGAGGAAAATTCAAAGTGAGAACATCATTCCCGGGCGGAGGGAGTAAATTTTACTCCCTCCGTCCGGAAATGTTCTTCCCGTGTTGACTTGGCACGCTTATTAAGGAATAGTAAAAAAATGTAAAAATTTCAAAAATGCACATACTATAAAATTTTAAATCTCCTTTTATTATTAAAAAAGTATTAAAAAAGTAGATTTGTGATAAAATAGAAGGGTATTATTGATATATATTTAGCCTTAAAAAGCATACTAAAAAAGGAAATGGGAAGATTATTTCCGGACGGACCAAAAAGGAAAATGGGAAGAATATTTCCGGACGGAGGGAGTAACTAATAGTATACGAAGTACAATGAAAATAACACAGGAGGGGTAACACACAAGATTTATCTACGATATGATAAAATATACTCCGTAAAACATAAAGAAATGTAATAAGTTTTAAAACATTCAAAACATGTGTATCAAAAATACATGGAATATAAAAATTTAGGGTGGTTAAAACTTATTGAAAATCGGGTACATGCCGGGTCGGGTCGGTCAAATACACTGGCACAAACCCAACCCGATAAGAGTCGGGTTTGGTTAAATTCTTTTGGCTCGGTTTCGGATATTTAATTTTTCTATTCGGATTTGGATATTATAAGTTCCTTTTTTAAAATGAATTCAGGTCCGTAGAGGTTGAATTCGGGTACAATTGCCATCTCTATTTAAAAATGATACTCCCTCCGTCCCGCTATATTCGTCCACTTTTGACTTTTGAAGCTGTTCATCTAAGCACTTTGACTCATCAAATTCTCTCAATGTGTAAGCCTAAATATAGTCATGCGTGATCTTATTTGATTTGTCTTAACATATATATTATTAATATATAATTTCTATAATTTTTTAATATACAAATTACAAGATAAAATGAATTAAAGAAGTGCATTGGATGGTGTGCAAAAATGAAAGTGGACAAATATAGTGGGACAGAGGAAGTACCTACTATAAGTAATTGCCTAAGAGTCTGATTGTTGAAACAATAGACTTGGGCCCAATTCAACCCCAAAAGTAGATAACGACGCCGACAGGACTCGTGGGCGCAACGGTGGGGTGAGATTGGCTGCGGTGGAGGTTTGAGCCGGTAGTGGGTGCTGTTTGGTGGCTAGGGATGGGTGAAAATGTGTAAGGGTATTTTAGTCTATTCACTCCCTTACTCAATGCTTCTTAAAAATGAGGAAAATTCAAAGTGGGAACATCATTCCCGGGCGGAGGGAGTAAATTTTTTCTAATAGTATACGAAGTACAATGAAAATAACACAGGAGGGGTAACACACAAGATTTATCTACGATAAAATATACTCCGTAAAACATAAAGAAATGTAATAAGTTTTAAAATATTCAAAACATGTGTATCAAAAATACATGGAATATAAAAATTTAGGGTGGTTAAAACTTATTGAAAATCGGGTACATGCCGGGTCGGGTCGGTCAAATACACTGGCACAAACTCAACCCGATAAGAGTAGGGTTTGGTTAAATTCTTTTGGCTCGGTTTCGGATATTTAATTTTTCTATTCGGATTTGGATATTATAAGTTCCTTTTTTAAAATGAATTCAGGTCCGTGAGGTTGAATTCGGGTACAATTGCCATCTCTATTTAAAAATATAGTCATGCGTGATCTTGTTTGATTTGTCTTAACATATAGATTATTAATATATAATTTCTATAATTTTTTAATATACAAATTACAAGATAAAATGAATTAAAGAAGTGCATTGGATGGTGTGCAAAAATGAAAGTGGACAAATATAGTGGGACGGAGGAAGTACCTACTATAAGTAATTGCCTAAGAGTCTGATTGTTGAAACAATATACTTGGGCCCAATTCAATCCCAAAAGTTAACTCAAGAGGTTGAGGTACCCAAGCTATTAAATAGCAGCACAATATAAGGCTGCATAGCCGATGTGGGATGAACAAGTCAACACGCCCCCCTCACACGAGGCGCAGATTACTGCGGGCGCGGTCCCAACATAAATGGCCTAGCTCTGATACCATGTTGAAACAATAGACTTGGGCCCAATTCAACCCCAAAAGTTAACTCAAGAGGTTGAGGTACCCAAGCTATTAAATAACAGCACAATATAAGGCTGCATAGCCGATGTGGGATGAACAAGTCAACACTGATATTAAAAAATAAAAATTACAGTATATATTTAAGAACTGCATGAAAAGATCTACGAATGGCAACGAAAATACATTAATAAAGTGAATAAAAAACAAGCTAAGAGATGTTCTTGTAATACAAAATCAAAGTTTGGCGAAGGGAAACTAATGACCGCGAAGATATATCTCTCAATCTCCTTCATAATATATAGTAACATCATATCAAATCATCTGAGATTGATTAACTGCAGCAGGCGAAGAATCTCCCGATCCATGTCTTAGCTTAGCTAGGCATTAACTGCATGCATGCATGGAGTAGTGATGCAGTGGACAAAAGGAATTAAATAATCAAATATATATATTATTGTCAATTAATAAGGTAATTAATTAGGTGAGAATTAATCAGAAATGATGATGATGACCGACCTGGTTACAGGAAATGAAGCACATATATAGGATCTGACACATTGCAACCCAGTGGAAAAGTGCATTTGATGCCGCCGCATAAGACCGAAACCTTGTGATATTTATTATTATCATCAAACCCAGCTTGATAATCCACGTTTAACCTCATGCTGTAGTTGGGAGCGCCGGTGGCGGCGGCGTCGTTGTTTTCGTAGGGTAGAGACAAGTTCTGAACGTGAACTCTGACGGTGAAGACGGCGGAGCCGAGGGGACTCAGCGCGGTGGGGCCGCCGACCATCGCCGACGACTGTGACGCAAACTCCACCGGGTTCTCCCGGTATTTTCTCCCCCCGACCAGATAATAGAGTGTCACCTGTGCTGCTACCGCTGCTGCTGATGACGACGACGAGGAATTATTATTATTATTATTATTATTGTTGTTGTTGTTGTTGTCGTCGTCGTAGAAAATGGTTTTGTTTTTGTAAATGTTTGGGTCGTTGTAGGCCTTGAGGGTGTAGGTGAAGTCGGCGGTTAGCCGGTTTCGGGCCTCGTCCACGGTTGCGTTGGGGGACAAGGCCGCACCCAACAGGGTGTACTGCGGGGGTGTGGCAGCCCCCGAGCCTTGTTCAACTTGGCCTTCTCCTTAATCCTCGAAGCAATAAAGCTACCAGGAACAAGGATCATGAAAACCAGAAAAATACATGGCACGCATATTCCTCGTGGCCGTTCATCTCCTTGTCCACCACCGCCGTTCATCTTACCTAGCTAATTAAATTATGCACTCTCCGGCCGGCCGGTAGTTAATGTTGTTTTTACTCCCTACCTAGCAGCTAATTAATAATAGAGATATATAGAAGAGGCACATACATACATACATACATACTACCCGGAGTATATATACTTATACACACACACCCGGTTTAACTGTCTTAGTACATACCTTAGGCGGCAAGGATTGCTTACGTACCCGGCCGGGTCCCAACTTTTTCCATCTCTCATTGCAAAATTTCCGAGAAATGATTTGGCCTTAGCTTTAGACTTTTTTTATCTTGTTTTTTAAGAGGATTTTACATATATAGCACTAAAACCTTAAGTTTTAGTGTTATTTATTCAACTATTTTCAACCTTTGACCTATAATTAAATAAAATATACTCCCTCCGTCCCAAAAAGAATGGGACGGTTTGACTTTTTGGGAAATTAAGGGAGGGATATTTTGGTATTGACTTTCCAAAAATACCCTTGATGTGATGGGTAAAAGTAGGATGTGATGGGTAGATTATTAGAAAAAAGGTATGATGTGATAAGTAGGGTATGAAAAAGTAAGGGGTAAAAGTGGTTTTTTAATAGAAATGTTACGGACTTTATGGGACGCAGTTTTTTCTAAACGTAACAAACTTTTTGGGACGGAGGGAGTATATTGTATACTAATTAGTTAAAATAATATTATGAAAATATCTTATATAATAAATCTAATAAAACTATTTTTGTATCAATATATAATATTATTTTTTATTTAATTTGGGATCAAAGTTTATTAATTTTGATCGAAAAATTTCAAAAGTGGATAAATACTCTGGAACAGAAGGAGTATATATAAACTAAATTGAAAAATAAAGTCAGGAAAGACTCGAATCGTGACGACGCGTAATAGGAACAACCAACTTCGAGGGGAGTTAAATTTATTCTCACTCTAAAATGTAAGACAAATTATAGGAAAGTAATATTCAAATTCTCACCTACTTTAGATATTGCACTTTTCAATAAAGAGTTAGAGAAATTTACTTAAATAGCACTAAAACATAATGACTTTTCCTAAATAGCATCACATGTGTTTTTCTTCCCAATGTAGCACTTTTAGTCATTATGCATTAATCATTATTCAAGTAAAAATATTCGTCATCACTAGACATTATGGACATTATTATGTGCTATTTAATGAATAAAATAATTTAAGTGCTATTTAGAGAAATGACTTAAGTTTTAGTGCTATTTAGTGCAAATATTTCAAAGAGTTATTCTATTGTGGTCCTAGAGTCCACATGTAGAATGTTAATATTTTTACATATTTTTTCATGGATTCATAATTAGATCTCTTTATTTATACAAGGTCGTTACATAAAATTATTTTATGTATGAGCGTTCATAAAATAATCATGAATCTCAAGAACGTACATAGAAAAATTTTCTTTCTACGGGACAGGCTTTTTGAGATGGAGATAACCTATTTTATGGTGCGTCAATTTCATCCTCTCCAATCCATCATTAGCAATAGAAATGCACCTTTGGACTAAACTTATATGAGGACAAATTATTTGTAATTAAATTTATTAAAATATTGGTGTTTTATTCCTTTACATTAACTTGACTTTTTCAAGCTAAATTAAACGAACTTTGAATATTAATTAAATAAAAATTGTAATGTATGTTTAAATGAAAATGATTTAATTAGATTTATCTTGCATAGAATTTTTACGCACGGCTCCGCCACAGCGTTTCTCTCTTCTCGTTAATTGGCCGTCAAAGTCTACGTCTGCTTCTCATCTCAATTTTATGGAGCTTGAAGAGCGTTCGAAGTTCCTTCGTATCAAACTTTAGGCAAGGACTATGTGCTGCTTACGCACTCACTTTCGTTTTTTTGTTCATCTTTTTCGATTCTCTCTCATTGCGAAACTTCGGAGAATTGAAACCAAAAAAAGAAAATTCTTCATCCTAGTCTTGAGTTACACGAGATTACCGGCATCTTAGTCGTCCTTCATCCATCATGAATATATATATATATATATATATATATATATATATATATATATATATATATATATATATGTAATGATTTCTTAATTTATATTGTGTGTCACTATATTTGTAAAGAGCGCGGTTTGGATACGGCATTCTCCACTACCTTAGTTTTCAAAATGTTAAGCCTTTTTTGTGTTTCTCACTTTATTTCTAAACAGCGCTTTTAGTTCCTTTTTTTGAAGAAATCTTTGTGTTCTTTTTGTTAATGTACCCTACATCCAGGTAGTATTTATTCTGAACTAGAGTAGTACTTATTCTCGCACAAATATAATTAGCATGGTACTCATTCTAAAATAATGCAGTACTCATTTTCACACATTGATTCAATATAATTATAATATTCATCTACAAATAATATACTGTTCACGCTATCTAAAATAATGCTTTTTGTTTTTCCTTCCAACAATGTTATGTCTATATAGACTTATAGGATTGAAACTTAGAAACCGTGGAGTGTAACAAAATTTTGTATGATTCTATAAATCTTTTCCATTGTAAAATCTTTCGAATTATTGAATAAATTTTATTTCTTATATATGATCTGTAAGAACGTAGACATTTGGCATCTAAATTTGAAGGATTTACATCTAACATTTAGCAATTTAAGGAAATATTATTATCTGCCGAAAGTTAGTACTACAAAATCTTATTTAAATCCTTTTTTTTTGAAAAGTTTCGGGTATACAACATTTTTAGTAAAGTTGTAAGGGCTCCCATTTCATCTAAATTCAATCATGTTTTGGCTTTTACTCGCGAAACATCAACATAAAGTCTACCGTCAGTGAATACCGGCTTCTTAAAAAATAATAACACAAATGATAACGTTGGACCTTGAATTTTGGTAATTGTCATAGCTTGACTGCGGGATCTAAATTTATATCCACCACAGTCCAGGTTATGAATATAGCACAAACATCCAAAAACACGGATATGAGTCATAATAGGAGGATTACCAGACATAAGCTCATGACAAGTTTTTCCATTTGACAAAGCGGGAGGGGTACAATTGATGAGATATGAAACGGTAAGAATACATTGCCCCTATAACTCAATAGGCATAGAAGCTTGAAAACAGAGAGCAAGAGCAACATTTAAAATATGACAGTGCGAGATTACGTTGTACACGACCATTTTCTTAATAAGGAGTACCACGACAAAAAGTTTCTAGCAAAATTTCTTGTTCTCGAAAATATGGATAAAAACACTCAAACTTCGTCCCATTGTCACTTCTTAGGGTTTTAAGTCTCTTTCCAAAATATAGTTCAACCATTGTACAAAATTGACAAAATATAGATGCATGGGACCTCATATTTAACATGTAAAAGGTAAACCCATGTGTATGTCACACGAATAATCATCAACAATCGTCAAAAATGCCAAAAAAAAAGTAGTCTGAAAAGATCCATTATGTGAATATGAATTACATCCCTATCCTTTTCAAATTGAATTAATCATCCCCGACGG